AGAAGGGAACGAGGCACGTACAAGTTTGGGTGCTCTCTATGCAAGATTTTCCAGCTGGGATGAAACCTTGACATCAGCCACACAGTTAGTTCTTCCTCACAGGTTCCATACTCTGTGCTATGATGTGTGACTCTGAGATTTACGGATGTATCTTCTCTCCAGGCACTTCCTGGCTTCCTTTGATAACAAATGTAATTAGCTATTTCCCTTCCCTATTAAATTCTGCATATGATCACAGTTATTCTGGTTAAATCAGACTCCAGAGGCCAACATTAATGAAACAAGAATTACGAAATCTGTCTTCATTAAATGGAAAACAGAATAACTGAGAGAGTCAAGATGGAAAAATAAACAATGTATTGTATGAAGGAGGCTGAAAAGAACCAATTGCGTAGAATTTCAAACATTTAGAATTTAAATCAAAGGCACACTCTGTTTTACTGTTTAAATTTTTTTTGGAAAAATGTTTCCACTTCCTCACATAATCCATCTCAAGTTTTGAATGTGGTCCATCATCTCATTATTTTGGACTGGAGTGTTTGAGTTTCTGAAATTGTATAAGAAGATCTGAGGGCTTACAGTGTAGGTTGCAGTAACAGAACCATATTCTAGTAGACTCAATTTTTTCTAATTCTACACTAATGGAATACACGGTACCAAGCCCCGGGTTATTCTCCTGTATACGAAGTTGCTGTTAGAAAGTCAGTTTTATTTGAGAAGAATAGCTTTAGACCAAAAACTTCTGATGAGAAAAAATACTGCTCACGCATCTTAAAATTGTTTTCAAATTGCATCAGTGACACATACAAATATAAAATGTCACTCATCATATATGCTCCCGTCGTACAGCTGCTATCACCACAAAAGTGACTACTTACCAAGACATAAAGGAAGAAAAAATACCTTAACTCTGAGGAAACATCCAATTTAATTTCTTCTATCCCCTGGTCCCTTTTCACTTCTCCATCTTGGCTGTGAATTTTCAGCATTGTCAATGAGTGACGTTTTTAATTGGAGGAAAGGGATATTGTATGGATGCACACAAATTAGCAGGAGAGGGCAATTCAATTACAGAGGAGCCAGAATTCTTACTGAGAAATATTGATGACTGTGTCCTGAGGGTTTCCACTTCATCTAAAATGTACTGAAACTGAAAACTTGAAGGAAATACAATGGATGTTTTACAGAAAGCCCAATTTGGAAAATAGAAAGGTAGATCAACTGTGTAATGGAAGCTCTATTTAAGTGCTATTTTTGCTCATGAACTAAAGGCATTCTATAATCACTTCCTCAATAATCTTCCTTGTAAGGTAACTTTGCTAATCGGTTTAAGGAACAGAAGGTCAAGATTAGCCCTCTTATGCTACTGACTGGCTCTATAACCTTAGGAAGAAAACCATAATTCATTGATCCTCTAATATGCGCCAGGTATTGTACTAGGTGCCATCACTTTGACATGCATTGATTTGATTCTCCCTTCATGCCAGGCAGAGTAAAGCTCTGGAAATGGGAAGATAAAAAAGTTACAACCCTTTCTCTCAAGAGGCTCACACTCTAGTGACAAATGTAACATAGGATACTCAATGCTCTAATGTAGAGAGAGTGTAAGCAATATGGGGACCAAAGGAGGGAATGGCTATGTATTATCTCATTGAATCCTCCTCAGAGGACTCTTAGCCCAATTTAGCAGACCAGGAAACTGAAACTTACGGGAGTTATGTAATGTTGGAGAAAAACTCCAGAACATTATGCTCCTTCTACTAAACTAAGAAAGGGAAGTTTTAAACCTCATTTTTTAAAGTGATAGAATGCCACCCTAGTGCAACGAGTGGGTAGGTAAAAAACTGATAAACATTAATATTTAATGAGTACTTACTAGCTTCCAGACATTGTTCTAAGCACGTTGCATATATTAATTTATTTAATCCTCACACTACCAATTATATTAGGTATCATAATTATCACCCTGATTTTACTAATGAGGAAAATGGGGAAGGGAGATGAAGTAACTTGCTTACCGGGATACAGCTGGCAAGAAATTGTAACACCAGGATGTGAACCCAGACAATGTGGCTCTCACGTGGAGAGCTGGGGAGTGTCAAAATAAGATTGCAGAATTTTCTACATAGGAATACTGTGGGCTGGGGTAGGAGTCCCAGCTTTTTCTGCACCAGGTCCACTCCGGGTATTTAGCCCTGTCTGAACATTACCACAAAAGAAAGACGGGAGAGTTCAAGAACTCACTAGTCAGGAAGGCGGAGGAACCCTATGGAAAAGGGTGCATTTTAGGGAAAGTGTGAATTAGCAGAGGGACGATGTTCAAATGCAAGGCTGCATGCAAACTTCGAAATGCCTGCTTTCTTGGCTTCTGACTCCCAGTGGAGCTCTACCCTCATCCCTGAAAGAGAATGGGTGTTACGTCCCAAATGGATGGCCTTGTGACTTGGGGAAATTTCTGAGGCGTTCACTTTCAGAATGCTATGAGTTTGGGGGAGAATCACTACAGTTCTCTCTGAGTGTGATTCCTTGATCTCTCATTATTGCTGGAAATGCACACTTTTCCTCTGCTCTTCCAAAAGCGCCAAAGAAGGGGCTGGCACCTATGAAATATGGATGGTGTCACTATCGACCTGCCCAGTCTTCAAAGCTCCCCAAGTGAATTCATCTTGGCTTGCTCAGGACTTTCCCAGTTTTAGCACAAAAATTCCTACATCCCAGGAAACCCCCAAGTCCTGGGCCAGGTCAGGACGGTTGGTCACCTGACCTTGCCCAGACTCTACCTAGCATCTTACCAACCCACACCTGCGACTCAGTCTATTAATATCATCATTTTATACCTTCCTCCTATTGTGCAACCCGCTGAATTTCCTAGTGTTCCAGTTTCATTAGATGTGCCTCCAAACTCTGTATGCAGTCTCCTAGAGGCTCAGTCTGTGGACAAAACATCACATGTGTGCAGGCATGATCCATGATGCACAGAGCTCCTTTCTGTGTGTCATCTTACAGAACTCGCCATGAGCCAGTGCAACAGACTGGTGAGATGTATAAATATTCTGACTTTACAGTCGAGAAAATTATGACTCAGGTGGAGATGACTTACTGAAGACAATACAGCTAGGATGTGGCAGCATTAGGCCCTCCCTTTTCGAGGTCATGGGCTTAGAACCAACTTCCATTCAAATCCCAGTTTGGTCATTTCAAGCCGTATGATTTTCCATAAGTTACATAACTTTTCCAGGTCTTCATTTCCTCATCTGAAATTTGGAATGGCAACCCAGAATTTATTAGATGAAATAAAATAATGTGTGCACATGACAAATGCTTAGAAAACAATAGTTTTTGGAATAGTTGGTAACTGAATCCTGCTTTGTTTCTCATGGGTAGGAGGCATGTTTAAATAAAGGATTCTTTGTCAGAGGAAGAGGTTTAAAACCTTCTCAACTGAGCTTGAATGGATGAATGAGTCAGAATAGATGTGCAATCCAGTACTGAGAATAGCAAGACCAAAAGAGAAAAAGACGTGCCCCTACTTAGAATAAACTGGAGGTGAAACAAGAAAGGGGCAGCGGTTTGGCAGCACCTTGTAGCCCTTTCCATGAGCTGCTATTCCCCATCGCTGAGTGGCCATTCATTTACCCCGTTAAAGCAATCTGTTTCTGACCTGCCAGTAGTCTTCTCTAGGATCACAGAGTACCCACAATTCTCTTACTGCCTGGAACTCTTCTACCTCCACCAAGGTTTCAATCCCCCTTTTATTTACAATAACAAACTAGTGTTAGTGAAGCCTTAGCACTTCTGTGTATAAAAAGGCAAAGTACTTAACACTGGTCAAGTACAGTAAACAATGGGTGTTTACAGATCCCCAGTAATTCCATAATCCAGAACTGTGGCTAACACATACATCACAAATTTTATTTATTTATTTTATTTTATTTTTAGACAGAGTCTCACTCTGTCATCCAGGCTGGAGCGCAACAGCACAATCTTGGCTCACTGCAACATCTGCCTTCCAGGTTCAGGCAATTCTCCTTCCTCAGCCTCTTGAATAGCTGGTACTACAGGCGCATGCCACCATGCCCAGCTAATATTTTGTATTTTTTAGTAGAGGCGGGGTTTCACCGTGTTGGCCGGGATGGTCTCGATCTCCAGACATCGTGATTCGCCTACCTTGGCCTCCCAAAGCACCGGGATTACAACATCACTATACTTTCTTCCAGTATCTTTTCAGTCTGTCTAAATATATTTGTGTATATTTCTGAGTATGTGTGTGCATGCATCTGTGTTTTTCTGAATAGCTCCTTCCCTTACTCCTTTCTGCTAACAGCATGGCCACCTTTGTCTTTGGAGATGGGTCTTTCCCTTTGAACCATGAGGACCAGAGGAGGGCTCCAAGTTAGAGGATCCACCCCGCCAGCTGCCTCAGTGATTGATCCAGAGATGGTCATGTGATCCAAGCCAGCCCAGCCTAAGTCCATTCCCAGGAATATAAATCATTGCGACGGGGAAAGTTTATTTTTCTACACAGCTTGCTAAAATGAGATAATGTTAGCTCGGATCCATCTTAAACCCAAAAATTAAATTAGCATGTTAAAATAGTTTTTAAAAATTTAGGAGAAGTTTTGGAAATGTTAAAATGTTAAATATTAGACAATTGGAATTGACTAATAAACAAAATACCTAACAATGTCCAAAGCAATTCATAAGATCATCATAATACTGTCATATTATAATGGCTTTCGTGTCATTTGAAGCTCTTTCCAAATGTCACTTTTATGTTTCATGTTGGCCGTGTTACATAAATGCTGCTGGGCAGACCAAAAACATTTTCTTTATTAGATTCTAGAGGCAACTGAATGTTGGTGTTATCAAAGGTAATTTGCATGTATAATTCACAGAATGTTTTGCAATCTTTCTGATTTAATGATTCAGTAGAAATGATCAAATAATCCTCTCATCATAACTGTAGAAGATAAATACAATGACCTATTTTTCCATCATAATTTGTCCTTGAAATATACATTTTTGTCACATTATGTTTGAAGTTAAAACTAAGAAGCTTGTACTGTTAAGTGGTTTGTGGGAGGGAAGCAATTGCCTCAGAAGAATTTTTTTTAAATACTTACATTTTGGGACTACTATTGGAGACAAACTGATTTCAAAATGTTAACAAGATCTATGCCAGGTTCTCTGATCTCTGGATTTACTTTGACTTCCTAAAGTAAATGTGAAGTTTTGATGTTGTGGTTTTCTCCTTTTCTCCCTTTTTCCCTTTTAGGCTATTTATAATAGGATATTACCTGTCTTATCATAGGATCATACCTCAAACCCAAAACCCCGACGAATATGGGCTGCCTCTTTTGTCTTATTGGCACAAGGATGGCATTTCAATCTTCCTGCAATGTCCAAGCCAGGGCCACTTTTGCTTAAGGAAATAAAATCTCTCAGAACGGATCCCTTGGCTATCTCCCTCTGTTTATTCTTTCTTGAAGAAGTTAGTTCTCCCTGTCTGTGTGTGGTAGGCAGGCCCACCACAATTTTGAAATAAGCTTCTAATTTAGTATTCATCCTCTTGCTATAAAGAATGTTGAGCCATAAATACCATCAGAGATGGTGAATGATTTTTCAAAATATTTTCAATCAAACAAGATGTAGTTCTTTCCTGAAAGCCAACTCTGAAGAAGCTGGCAAAACAAAATGCATGATAGATCTTCGGCCCTTTGTGTGGGATGAGATCATACTGGTTGGGACTGCATGACTGGCAGGGTTATCAAAGAGCATTCTGTGGTCTTTGTTCACTTAACGCCTATATTAGTTTCCTAGGGCTGCTGTAACGAATGACCACAAACTTGGTGGCTTAGAACCATAGGCATTTATTCTCTCACAGTTCTGGAGGCCAGAAGTCTGAAATCAAGGTGTCAGTAGGCGCATGTTCTTTCTGAAGTCTTCAGGGGAGAATTATTTGCCTCTCCCAACTTCTGGGAGCTTCAGGTGTTCTTTGGCTTGTGGCTGTGTGACTCCAGTCTCCGTCTCCATCTTCACATGCCTTTCTCTTCTTTCTCAAATTTTCCTCTGTCTTTCCTTATAAGGACACAGGATTAGATTCAGGCTCCTCTGCCTACACCTGGAAATTCAAGTAATCTCATCTGATGATCCTTAGTTATATCTACAAACTTCCTTTTACCAAATAAGATCACATTCACGAAATAAGATCACATTCAAAAAATATACCTATTTTTTGGGTTGTGATCATTCAACCCACTAAAATGCCTAACGGTATTTCATTTGAAAAATGCATTGTCAGCCAGGCGCGGTGGCTCATACCTATAATCCCAGCACTTTGGAAGGCCGAGGTGGGTGGATCACGAGGTCAAGAGATCAAGACCATCCTGGCCAACATGGTGAAACCCCGTCTCTACTAAAAATACAAAAATTAGCTGGGTGTGGTGGTGCACACCTGTAGTCCTAGCTACTCTGGAGGCTGAGGCAGGAGAATTGCGTGAACCTGGGGAGCGGAGGTTGCAGTGAGCCGAGATTGTGCCACTGCACTCCAGCGTGGGTAACAGAGCAAGCCTCCGTCTCAAAAAAAAAGAAAAAAAAAGGAAAAAAAAGAAAAAGAAAATGCATTGCTTGCAAATTCACCTAAACCAGTGTGGTTAGTCATAATTATTACATTCTTTTCACAGTTATTGGTAACATCCAGTGGTTGGGCTCAGGTAAGGGCTTTAGGTTTTCTCTCCTGACTCTTCACTACCTGGTAGTAGTTACAATGGAAGCAAGTCCCAAACAAACCAAATTCTGGCACACGTATGAACATTCATTACCACCCTAGCACAAGAACATGTGTCCCATTTGATATGGTTTGGATTCATGGCCCTGCCCAAATCTCATGTGGAATTGGAGGAGAGGCCTGTTGCGAGGTGACTGGATCATGGGGGCAGATTTCCCCCTTGCTGTTCTCATGATAGCGAGTGAATTCTCACAAGATCTGATGGTTTAAACATGTGTGGAACTTACCCCTTCGCTTTCTCTCTCTGCTATTCTGCCATGGTAAGAGGTGTTTCTTTCCTTTCACCTTCCGCCATGATTGTAGTTTCCTGAGGCCTCCCAGTCATGTTTCCTGTTAAGCCTGCAGAACTGTGAGTCAATTAAAGCTCTTTTATTTGTAAATTACCCAGTCTTAGGTAGTTCTTAATAGCAGTATGAAAACAGACTAATATACCATTAATCCTGTAACTCAATAAATCCTCCATTCTTGGCCATGTCAGGCGCTTCAAACAGCACCTTGTAAGAACTCACCCACAGAACATACAACAATGTTCAGGCAGCAAGATCAAGCTAGCCCTCCCACTCAGGGCTTTTCAAACTGCGGTTTGCATCTCATTACTGTGTTCTCAAACGAATTTAGTGGGTTGCAACCAGCAATAAAAATAACAACAAAACAGAGTAGAATTGAATAGACTATAGCATTATATAAAGTGAGGTAAGAAGCACATTCTTTGGAAAATTTTTCTTTCAGTGTGGGTGTGTGTATATATGTGTACTGAGTCGGTCATGATGTAAGATATACTTATTACTGTGATCTAAAAAGAATGAGAAATTCTTTCCTAAGTGGAACTGGATACAGAATATAATGGAGTCCTTTGGCCTATGGCACCACTCTAACAGGTACAGACTGATGGGCACCTTAGATTCTTGTGGCCCATTATGGAAGGGAGGTTGTTTCTGCATAATTATTTCTAGTCAGTCTACAAAACCACTCATTTTACCAATAAAAAACTATCTTTTATGTCTTTCATGCTAATCAGAAATGTTCTAAAGATAGTTTCAGGCTTGTAGTAGCTTCCGCTAAAACGTTAGCTTCTCATTAAATTCAGTAAAATACTAACTCCCCCTGCAGTGCATATTCCTGATTAGAGCACTTCAACTGTTACTTACCCATATTAAACTATAAACAAAATAATATATGCTGTATGTGCCATAATGTGTGTGCGTGTGTATGTGTGTGTGTGTATCTGCGATACAGACAGGATCAGTTATTCTCTCCTGTCACATGGAAGGCTTGTGGGGAAGATAAGCAAGTTAAAAGAAGGTCGTAATCTAATACACAGCACAATATTGTGTTATAATGGTTGATACTCAATGTAAAAAAAAAAAACACACACACACAAGAAAATCTACCTCTAGAAGCCTCTCCCACTACTTGAGTTCGCAGATTCATAAACCAGGGCAAGACTAGAGGATTACTAAGGGCATAATTGCAAGTCTAAATGTTCAGTCATATTTCACCAAGTGGTTTCCAGGTTTTCCTATTTCTGTGGAGCACTAGCCAGTCCCTGAAAAAGATAAGTAGTTATATGCTACTTCAAATATAATAAACATGAAAGGCAAAAACTGAGAGCAGATTATGACTTCCACACTCCACTTTTCGCTGTCCATGAGCTCACTATCTGGAGTTGGTGAGGAACTGCTCTTAGCCTTTGGACATGGTACCCAAAGGCTGAGCCCCAGAGTTGTCTCCATAATTTGCAGGGCCCATGGGAGGTCTCTTGTCCAAAAAGCAGGGGTAAATCTTGTTTCCTTTTTTCTTTCATCTTTCTCTCAACCTCTCATACTACTTTTTATTTGCTATTTAATTTTGCACCTCCATGAAAACAGAAAAACTTGAGGGGTGAGCACTCACCATCACAGGGGCCTCAGGCCTCACCATAAGTCTCAGAGCACACCTACCAGAGCCCATCCCTCCCTGAGCCTATCCTCAGGTCAGATGCAGTCCATGGGAAGAGAATGGTTCATTTCAGGAGGAGGCTGGAGGTAGGACTGCTCCTGAACTTGGCCACCATGCTCCTGGTGCGTGCTCCTTTGTCCTATTGGATTGCACTTACAAAACACAAATTCAATGATAAAATTGTTACGGATTTCCTTTTTTTTTTTATTTTTTATTTTTTTAATTATTTTTTTTATTTTTTATTATTATTATACTTTAAGTTCTAGGGTACATGTGCATAACGTGCAGGTTTGTTACATATGTATACTTGTGCCATGTTGCTGTGCTGCACCCATTAACTTGTCAGCACCCATCAACTCGTCATTTACATCAGGTATAACTCCCAATGCAATCCCTCCCCCCTCCCCCCTCCCCATGATAGGCCCCGGTGTGTGATGTTCCCCTTCCCGAGTCCAAGTGATCTCATTGTTCAGTTCCCACCTACGAGTGAGAACATGCGGTGTTTGGTTTTCTGTTCTTGTGATAGTTTGCTAAGAATGATGGTTTCCAGCTGCATCCATGTCCCTACAAAGGACACAAACTCATCCTTTTTTATGGCTGCATAGTATTCCATGGTGTATATGTGCCACATTTTCTTAATTCAGTCTGTCACTGATGGACATTTGGGTTGATTCCAAGTCTTTGCTATTGTGAATAGTGCCGCAATAAACATACCTGTGCATGTGTCTTTATAGCAGCATGATTTATAATCCTTTGGGTGTATACCCAGTAATGGGATGGCTGGGTCATATGGTACATCTAGTTCTAGATCCTTGAGGAATCGCCATACTGTTTTCCATAATGGTTGAACTAGTTTACAATCCCACCAACAGTGTAAAAGTGTTCCTATTTCTCCACATCCTCTCCAGCACCTGTTGCTTCCTGACTTTTTAATGATCGCCATTCTAACTGGTGTGAGATGGTATCTCTTTGTGGTTTTGATTTGCATTTCTCTGATGGCCAGTGATGATGAGCATTTTTTCATGTGTCTGTTGGCTGTATGAATGTCTTCTTTTGAGAACTGTCTGTTCATATCCTTTGCCCACTTTTTGATGGGGTTGTTTGTTTTTTTCTTGTAAATTTGATTGAGTTCTTTGTAGGTTCTGGATATTAGCCCTTTGTCAGATGAGTAGATTGCAAAAATTTTCTCCCATTCTGTAGGTTGCCTGTTCACTCTGATGGTAGTTTCTTTTGCTGTGCAGAAGCTCTTTAGTTTAATGAGATCCCATTTGTCAATTTTGGCTTTTGCTGCTGTTGCTTTTGGTGTTTTAGACATGAAGTCTTTGCCCATGCCTATGTCCTGAATGGTACTACCTAGGTTTTCTTCTAGGGTTTTTATGGTATTAGGTCTAACATTTAAGTCTCTAATCCATCTTGAATTAATTTTCATATAAGGAGTAAGGAAAGGATCCAGTTTCAGCTTTCTACTTATGGCTAGCCAATTTTTCCAGCACCATTTATTAAATAGGGAATCCTTTCCCCATTTCTTGTTTCTCTCAGGTTTGTCAAAGATCAGATGGCTGTAGATGTGTGGTATTATTTCTGAGGACTCTGTTCTGTTCCATTGGTCTATATCTCTGTTTTGGTACCAGTACCATGCTGTTTTGGTTACTGTAGCCTTGTAGTATAGTTTGAAGTCAGGTAGCGTGATGCCTCCAGCTTTGTTCTTTTGACTTAGGATTGTCTTGGAGATGCGGGCTCTTTTTTGGTTCCAAGTGAACTTTCAAGCAGTTTTTTCCAATTCTGTGAAGAAACTCGTTGGTAGCTTGATGGGGATGGCATTGTATCTATAAATTACCTTGGGCAGTATGGCCATTTTCACGATATTGATTCTTCCTATCCATGAGCATGGTATGTTCTTCCATTTGTTTGTGTCCTCTTCTATTTCACTGAGCAGTGGTTTGTAGTTCTCCTTGAAGAGGTCCTTTACATCCCTTGTAAGTTGGATTCCTAGGTATTTTATTCTCTTTGAAGCAATTGTGAATGGAAGTTCATTCATGATTTGGCTCTCTGTTTGTCTGTTACTGGTGTACAAGAATGCTTGTGATTTTTGCACATTAATTTTGTATCCTGAGACTTTGCTGAAGTTGCTTATCAGCTTAAGGAGATTTTGGGCTGAGACAATGGGGTTTTCTAAATATACAATCATGTCATCTGCAAAGAGGGACAATTTGACTTCTTCTTTTCCTAACTGAATCCCCTTGATTTCTTTCTCTTGCCTGATTGCCCTAGCCAGAACTTCCAACACTATGTTGAATAGGAATGGTGAGAGAGGGCATCCCTGTCTTATGCCAGTTTTCAAAGGGAATTTTTCCAGTTTTTGCCCATTCAGTATGATATTGGCTGTGGGTTTGTCATAAATAGCTCTTATTATTTTGAGGTACGTTCCATCAATACCGAATTTATTGAGCGTTTTTAGCATGAAGGTCTGTTGAATTTTGTCAAAAGCCTTTTCTGCATCTATTGAGATAATGATGTGGTTCTTGTCTTTGGTTCTGTTTATATGCTGGATTATGTTTATTGATTTGCGAATGTTGAACCAGCCTTGCATCCCAGGGATGAAGCCCACTTGATCATGGTGGATAAGCTTTTTGATGTGCTGTTGAATTTGCCAGTATTTTATTGAGGATTTTTGCATTGATGTTCATCAGGGATTTAAAAAAAAAAAAAAAAAATTGTTACGGATTTCAAGATGGCACCCACAGTCCATTAATTCTCCAACAGGGGCCCTTCTGAGAGTGGAGCCCTGTGTGACTGCACAGGCCACAAGACAACCCTGGTATCTGCCACTTTCCAAGGCCTCTGGTTTCTGGGATCTCTTAAATCAAATTTATAATTATTTCCAATACCCTCACCAGAGTCAGTGACAAAAACAAGACTTTAATAATAATACTAAGAAATGGCTAAAACTTCTACAGCACTTGCTCTTTGACAATTCATATGACCCAGAATTCACCCCTAGAAATTCTTTGGAGTTGAGGCTCAAGTTCACCTTTACACATTTTAGGCTAAACCCTGTAAAATTGTCAGTGTTTCACCATTTTTCTTTTTACCAACAAAAACAGCCATTTTATAGTGAACATCAGCATTCCACCTACCGTGCCACTTTCATCCCCTTCGTGACATCATTCTTTGCTGCTGTTTAAATGTTTATCAAACTCCTCTCAGACTTTCCCACATGATGTCATTAACTAGGCCACATGGGGTGCAACTCCCTTAGCTGCTTGTGTCCTTTGCATGTGACTTTCCTCACATGCCATTCCACAGGGTGATGTCATTTCCATAGGGTGAGGATCCATGGTTGCAGCAGTCAGGAGGGGCCGGTGCAGAGCCCCTGTGGTAGAGACTTTGACTCCGACGTGCCCTTTAATGGGTTGAGATCTTTGACTGGGGTTGGCCCCATTCTCTTTCTGTTCCTGGTCAACCTCACTTTGGTGGTTAAGTGGATGGAAATCATTCTGACATGTCCTGTCTTTGCTCTGTCTTTCCTTCTTCCCACAGTTGGACCCATCTGTAGAAGGTTATTAACTTAAGTCCTAATACCAGCTTCTTTTGATGCCATTTTCTTCTCTTGTGTAAAAGATTCTCCTTTCACTCCTTGCACTTCACCCAACAAGGACTGGTGCCTCAATAGTGAAAAATGAATGAATTAATTGAGGTCCTCTTCTCTATGGCTTGGTCAGCACCAATTGTTATTTTATTAACATTTTTCTTCTCTAAAAGTCAATCATTCCTGATGGTAATGGATGACTTAGTTGGCTCCCCAAGCATATTTAAATACTATAAAAGGTCCAGGCTTAGCAATATATTTATTTGTTGATACTCATATTTAATGCATAGGGACTTAATAATATTAATAAATGATAGAGAGTGGATTTTAAATTCACATATGCAAACATACACATATACATGCAATTATATATAAACATATAGGTGTATGCACATATATTATTTATTGCACTGTATAAAACATTATATTGATGTTTCACACCAAGCATGGTCTTCTCAGGGGAATCAAACACTGTGGGAATAAGACATTTAGTATATAAATGACAATTACAGATGGCAGAAAGTGGTAAGTTCCAGAAGAGAGGTACAGGAAAAGACTGTTGTATTAGACTTGGGAGAGATTCCTTATGTTGGTGATATCACGGAAAACTTGCAATTTAATGTCACATCCCCTCGGGCAGAGGGCATGGAGATACTCAAGGGGTGAGTGCTGACCCTCACGGTGCTCAGGACCTTGTGTCTTAGTGCATGCAAGACCCAAAACCAGAGTGGGAACCAGCAGAACAGTTAGGATTTGGGGTCTGTCTCACCCTATTCCTTTAGGGAGAAGAGAGCTTCATTCCATTAGTACCTAAAAAGGCATCAGGCATTTGAATCATGGAGCCATGTGGTTTCATTTTATTTCATTTCATTTTACAACGTTATTGCCCCATTTTTTTTTTTCATTGAGAAAATTGAGGCTGACAGCCTAGGTCACCTGCTCAAAGTCAAACAGTAAACAAGTGGCTGAGCTGAACTGTACACAGGTATGTCCACATAAGAAAAGATTTCTCATTTGTGAACAGGACTTAGTCTCACATGAACAACCCTCACCCCCACTTTATGCTGTAAAATCTAAAATAAACCTTGTGGTAGCTCCTGTGTCCTTAGCACAGTAAGTAAACACAGCTGAAACTCAACATGCCCACCCTCCCAGAGCCCACCAGAATCCAGCACTTGTTTTGCCTACACTGGAAGGAATTCGAGGGCCACTGAATTCCTTCGTTGGCTCTTTGGTTCAAGTCCTCAGCCTTTGGCACCACAGATGACCAGATCTATCAAATCCGGAGAGACACTATGACTAAAAGGATTTCACCCCTTTTCGGAGAGCAGAGCCCTTTACACCATCCTGGACCACACTCTCTGTTCATTTGTTTGAAGTTTACATTGAACTGTGATTTCCAGAGCTGGAACAGAGATGCTTTGGGCACAGAAGTCTACCCTGTCCCCTGTCCTCACAAGGCACCTGCCGCTGAAAACCATGTGGAGACTGGGGAGTGTCTGCCCTTCTATCTGCAGCCAGAAGGCAAACTAAATAAACACGCAGAACACATGAATGAAGAGCCCACAGATGCACCCCCACCTTTCCTAATCACCCGCTGGATTTCCACCTACAAATCCTCCCCCGGGCCAGCCACCGCTTTCAGCAAGGCTGACAGCTCTGCTTGCTGCCCCTGCTTCTCACCCTCTCCAGGGCAACTGTGATCCAGACCCACCAGCACCGCTGCCTCCCTCACCCACTCAAAAGAGCAGCTTGAAAAATCCATTTGAATGAAATGGCTTGATTACAATGGGGAGACAATTGGTTGAATAAAGTCAATTATCTCTCTGGTGACAGGTGCCCACTTTGAAGTCTAGGCACCTGCTGGCATAATCACTGAGGCTGACATTTCCAGACCTTTATTAAAAGGGGAATAATAGTATGCCAGGCCTGAATTTTGTTGTTGTTGCTTGTATTTTTTTTTTTTTTAAAGCAGAGCAGAAGGGTGAGTGTAGTCTGCAGCTGCTGGGTCATTACCTCTCCTTAGCTAGCAGGTCAGGAACTGGGCCTTTGGATGCTGCCAGGGCTGTCAGAGGCTCCGACTGAGGCTGGTGCTGTCTAAGGTAACTGACTCTAGGCAGCAGAGTCGAAGGACTGTGCTTACAGCTTTAAGAGCCTTAACTACTCAAACCTGGAGAGCATTCAGATATGAATATTTAGTAACAGGAATAAGGGAATCAAGCACATCTTATTAATCCAATTAGGGAGATATAATGGAAAACAGGAAACAAATAAACAAATGATTTCTCCACAGCTGGGATGGTATTTCCATGTCCCGTCACTTTCACCAATAGCCTATATGCTCAGCCTCACTTTACTGCTGACCCATCTCCTTCCCTCTGCCAAGACCCTCTGTTCACTTTCTCCACCCTTACTCACCCAGACAAATGGACTCTGCGACTGTTAGAGTAGCAGATGGTTAAAGTAGGAGTGGGAGGTAGCAGCAGTAGGAATGTCTGGGGACCAAGGAGTGAAAGCAAAGTTGTTTATTCAACTAAAATACATTACTGAGTTAGTCTTGCACAGATAATACATTATGCTACCTGCGCTCTAGAAGTTCATACCTTAAAACACGAGTTAAAAACTTGTAGTGCTTAAGGATCAGGCAGGTATTATTATAAATATGTGATGGTAGCTGATGTATAATAGGGACCAGTGGGGACTGTGGAAAACTAGAGAATCCTTGTCTGTCTAAAAGAGGCCACCTGGATTCAGCTCCAGCCATGAGTTGTCAAGTGATCTTGCAGACCAAGTGTTGACAGAGCTTGAAATATTGCAAGAGAAGTTGGGATCTGGATTTTTTTTTTTTTTTTTTTGAGACAGAGTTTCATTGATGTTGCCCGGGCTGGAGTGCAATGGCGCAATCTCGGCTCACTGCAACCTCTGCCTCTCGAATTCAAGTGATTCTCCTGCCTCAGCCTTCCAAGTATCTGGGATTACAGGCGCATGCCACCAGGCCTGGCTAATATTTGTATTTTTAATAGAGATGGGGGTTTCATCACACTGGTCAGGCTGGTCTTGAACTGACCTCAGGTGATCTGTCTGCCTAGGCCTCCCAAAGTGCTGGGATTACAGGCTTAAGCCACCGCACCCAGCTGGGATCTGGATTTTATATGACACTTGTTGATACTTTGAAGAGTGTGTTAGCCTACAAAGCACATACGTGGTTTGTGGGCCACCATTTTATGATCCACATTCCAGAATGAGTTGACTTTCTATCCTAGAGGAGTTTTAACCAGGGGGAGTCACCATGATCATCATCCTATTTACCATTCATTAAATGTTGCAACATGCCAGATTCCTTCATTATCTCATGTATCCTCATACTATATACAATGAGGGCATTATTATTTTGATGTTATGCATGAGAAAACTGAGCCTATGTGATAGCTATCAATCAAATTCAAGGCAAGAAACAGAAGGGACATGCAAACTTGGAAATTAAGAAAAATGTAATAAAAGGATTCACTACAAAGGAGGGGGCAAAGCTGGAGAATTCAACAAAGCATGATACAGTACCTTGGTGCAAGCAACAGCAGACAGCTGTTTCCACCTCTATACTTGAAGACACAGGAGAGAGTGGTTCCACAACCCACTGGGAGTAGCTGCATTGAGAGGGGTGCTGGACAGCAGCGGTGGCCTTTGGGAGTCCTGCTCAGTGACTATGCAGAAAGAGAAACAGGGAAAAAATATATTGACGTCACTCTCCTTTCCACCTCTGATGTACATCGACCCATTGGCCCAACCAACTGGAAGCCCGAGGGGAAGGGAACCTTCTGACACAGTCAGTTACCACTCAGCATCCTGGGCATAGAGCAAGGAATAGAAGGGCAGAGAGTAGATCTAGAGGGACAAAGGCAAATCATCTAGCATATCCCTTAGCCAAGAGTCCAGATCCAGTAAGCGGTGAACCCAGGTTTAGCTGACACAGCTGTGTCTATTCTTGCTACTGGACCAAACAGGCCCCTTTGTCCTGAAAAACAAAGACTATCTCTGGCTCTCTATCTAGACATTGTCCTGTACTTAAATGTAAGTGGTATCTTAATTTATATCAACTCATTGCAGGTCATATCTAGGTTGTGTAGTGTAATATTTAAGATCCCAAAAGTTCTTGAATCAAGCAATACTGGATTTAAATTTCTATATGTACATTTTACTAGTGGTCTGACTTTGCAGAAGTCACTTAATCTTGAGACTCTTTATTGTTAGTCTCAGCATTCTATCATTTACAATGGGAATAATTGTACCAAACACATAGAATTTTATGTATAATGAGATTATATAAACAGAACACTTCATACAATGTCCAGCTCATAGAGTTAAATGATTGTCACAATTATTATGTGAATGATATTATTAGAAAATGTATTTTCTTTCAAGATTCTTAGCTCACATTCTCATCAAAGATTCACATAGCCAGAAGGCAAACTAAATAAACATACAGAACACTTGAATCAAGAAAGAACACAGAGGCACCCCCACATTTCCCTAATCACACTTTGGTTTTTCCACCTACATATCCTCCCCTGGGCCAGGCACTGCTTTCAGCAAGGCTGACAGCTCTGCTCACTGCCTCTCTTCTCCTTTTCACCTGAGATAATATTTTTTTGTGATTCATTTGGCCAAACCCAAAATTTGCAAGCACATTAACAACAGCAGTATTGTGACAGTGGTTTATTAACACATCAAAGAGAAACACATTCAAAGGGCTAATTTCAGTCTTTTATTAAGCCCTATGCAAGAAGAGACTGGGAGAAACAGGGTCTCAATGGATCACAAGCTCTTTAGGACTCAAGAGTGGGATGCAACTATCTGTCAAAAGGGCAAATAGATTAAATTTTCCTTCTGTTCTGGGTTCAAGCTGGGTTTACTTCTGGCACCGCATTTAGAGATGGACAATAAAATTCTGAAATATATCCAGAAAAATATGATCAGCTTGATTAGAGAACCTGAACCCATGTCACAAATGTAATAATTAAAGGAGCTTATTTCATTTGGATTGGAGAAGATATTTGGTGGGGCATGAGTGCCTTCATATCATCGAAGAAGATAGGATGAGTTCTTCAACTGCTGCAGTGAATAGAACCTGGCCCAGCACTGTGACCTCCTAAGAACATCAAGAGTGGCTCAGTATAAAGAATAACTTTCTGCCCTGAATTTGAATGCCTGCCTCAAAGAGTATCAGTTGCTTCTCCCTGAGGGTGTCCAAGAAGACTCATTTTGAAAGAGCACTCATTGAATATAGATGAATATTTCAATGGTACTACAGGCTTACACGAGGACTTGAAAGCTTATGTCTATGATCCTCCTGTGCGCCTAATGCTCAGTGGGCACACACATGAGACTGCAGCTTCTCTTGCAAAATTGGAAGCTCTGTCAACACTGGGCCCGCATGGCCACGTGCAACTCCCAGCCAGAGCTGAATCCAGATGGCTTCTCTTAGACAAGGGCTCTCTGCTTTGCCACAGTATCCAACAGTCCCTATTATATATCAGGTGGCTTTACCCATTTATAATACCTGCCTGGCCCTGTAACAGCAGAAGTTTTAAACTTGTGATCTAAATTATGAACTTCTAGAGGGAAAGTGCCATAGTGTACTCTTCTCTGTGCCTGAACTCAGTCATGTATTTTAGTTCCTAATATGGTCACTGCCTCATTAATGCCTATTTAAATGGAATGTTGTATGGATCACCCTCTGCCTTTACTTCAGTCTGTCATAGGTTTCAGAATCAGACATTGCAATTTTGGTGAAGGGCAGAATTGAGAAGCAAAAGTCAATTCCTATTACCACATCTTTGATAACTCCCAGTAGGCAGATCACTTCCTCTATTCATTTACTAGTTTATTCTTCTGCCAGTACATTTAAAGAGGAATCACATCATAACAACATATCATATTTGAACATTCTACCCATTAACATCTGCAATATCTTTAGACTTCATACATCGTCAGTCAATAATTTGTGTTGACTGTTTTCTGTGTGCAAAGAGCTAGGCCTCAGTATTGGCTAATTGTTGGCACACTTGCTGTTAGCAGTTCTGAAGTCACATTCTCCCCCACCGGGACCCAAAACACAATGTGACACCCATTTGCTGCCCTAAGAGTCTAACAAAATAGAATACTCTCAGGAAATCAAAGACCTTGAGCTTGGGAGTGCACAGAAAAAAGATACACACAGCATCAGAGTCTACATATGAGCATAGCTACATTAACTTTGTCATTTTGTTCTGCTTGTTGATATTGCTATTGCTACCACCACCATTACTACAGTTACTTCTATTTTGGGTTCAGGCAGTTCCTGTGAAGCTGCCGCCAACTGACAAACACTGGTGTCAACCACACATATCTGACTCCCTGAAGTGATTTGTGTGTGTGTGCGTGGTTGTGCCTATTCTTCTTGGCAGTGACTGAACCCTGAGGCCATAATTCATGGTACTTGCAAAGTTGAGAGTCTTGGTGTGATGGCATAGTACAAAAGAGACAGGGAAGAAAAACACACTCCTGGAAATTAGCATATGCTGTTTTTTAGTGCTGGAGGCCAGGAGCCCAGTGGAACCAAACGGAGCTCCATACTTGTGAGTGTGAGAATTTGAGTCCAGCACTTTCTCATGTGCTGTTTCACAGTCCAGGATGGCTAGAATGGCAAACTTCCATTGGTGGAAGTTGAAAATATCTGTGAGATGGATAGTTGAGGAAGCAGAGCAGCAAAATAGAAATATATATAATACTGTGTTTAAGGGAATATTTTAAAAAATATTTTCTTGAAACTCAGAGGAATTATATTACACAGAAGACTAAATGACAGAATTCACACCAAGCAGTTGCTCACAGCCTTGTTAGACTTGGGCCTTGAAGTATGTCCATTGTGTGGTAAAGTATGTCTACTCTTGGGTAGAGGGGATGTATAGAGAATAAAGCTTAATCTCTCTCTTAAGGGGAACCCACTAGTGGAAAAGTCAGAGCACAACAGACAAAACATTTTAATAACACACCACCGAATATTTGGGACAAACAGCCAGTTTCACATGGGGATGTGATACCAGGCTTTCTCAAAGAGTAGCTTTTGAAAAATAAGGAATATTTGTGAGAGAAATAAAAATGTAGATAGCAATTGCACATCAATCCCTGGATTGTTGAATTTCAGAATTCAGAGCTGAAGCTTTCATCTAACAATTCTAATACATGAATATTGTATCCTTTAAGTTCAATGATCAATGAGTAAACAATGACTACGTAACATTTCATGCAAACTATCCCAGTGAACAAGACAGATAGGATCCTTGTTTTCTTTGGGTTTTTATATTCTAGAGAATGAAGATAGATAATAAATAAGCCAAAAAAATTGGCAGGATAGTTTCTGGTAATGATAAGCACTGTAATGGAAATGAGACAGGCAGCCTGAGATGGGGTGGTAGGGAGGACAGGAGGGCGGGCTGCTTCTTTAGATTGTTAAGTCTGAAGACATCTGTGAATCAAGCACAGAAAGCTGTTTAATAATAAGACCCTGCTGGGGACTAAATGACAATGGATGAGGAATTCGTTTTGAAGTTTTTCCTCATTTCTCTCCACCCCCATTCAACCTCAGCATCGGACTCAGCACAATTCTTACCAAAGTGTTAGGCAGTGTGTTAGTCCATTTGTGTTACTTTAACAAAATACCTGATACTGGGCAATTGACGAAGAATAGAAATTTATTTCTCACAGTTCTGGGGGCTGTAAGTCGAAGATCAAGGCACTGGAAGGTTCCATGTCCAGTGAGGGCTGCTTTCTGCTTCCAAGATGGAACCTTGTTGCTGTGTCTCCCAGAGGGGACGGATATTGTGTCCTCACATGGCAGAAGGGACACAAAGGCAAAAAAGGATCTAATTAATTATCTCCAACCATTTCATATGGTTGCTAATCCATTTATGGGGGTTTCACCCTCATGACTTATTTACTTCCTAAAGGTTCCACATCTTAATACCATCACATTGGGCTGTAAGTTTCAACATGAATTGTGGAGGATACACAAACATTCAAACCATAGCAGGTAGTGATAAGAGCATATCTTACCTGCTATGATAAGCATAGATAAGAGCATTAGGCAATAGTGCTCACAGGCATGTTCCTAGAATCTTGGTGGTTCCTCAGAGGTGTCTGGCAGTTCAGAAGAGGACCCAGGTCCAATTATGTTAAATATTGACAAACAATCATCCTTCCTAGAAGAGCAAAAAAAATTTTTCACCAGTGCTCATGTACCCTGAAGAGTAAGAGCCCTGACTTCCAAAGTTAGGGTTAAGGTGCTGGCTCTGACAAGGACTAGACTTTCGACCTTCTTGAGCCTGAGTAGTCTCTGAAATACCCCTCCCAGGGCTCCAATTCTACTTGCCTGTGATGTGACCAGGAGTCTTGAGCTGTGGGGAAGAAGATGAGTTTCCCAGGCTTCGCTTCTTTCTTCCTCCTAACTCCCCGCCTCTTACCTGACTCTTAAAAGTTTTCTGGATGTGGATTACCCAGACTAGTACTCCCTCAGGGGAAAAGAACAAAGCATTATTGGCCTATAATTTTCCATTTTGGAGATGTTTCTCATGACTATATGATATTACACTGAGTGTCCTCTTTTCTTTTCCTGGACACAGAATCCTGAATTTTGCCTTTGGTTGGAAGTCACCCCCACACACAAATCCCAGGAGTCATGGACCATAGGGCTCTGATATATGGCCACCTTATAACCTCCTTGCAGAATCTTAGAGATTTTCTTTGGCCACCAGACACCCCTTACTCCATCGGGGTATGCAAAGATTCCAAACTCCTCACTCCAAATCATGAGCAACAACAAATATCAGACACAGAGAAGTGCACTTGTAGTAATTTTATATGCTAGAATTCCCAATCTCGTCTTTCCAGTTTGGCCCCATATCAGCATAACTGTGTGCCATCCATGTGACAAAGGGAGGTCATGGTGGGGAGAATTGCAGACAACTACTCCCTCCAGCATTGACTTCATATTCCACATAGGCCTGCCTCCATGGTACTGTACACTAAACACCGCAAGATCCTAAATGCTAGAGTTTATATACCAGAAAGAGAAATAGGAATCCTTCTCCTTTCCCCTACGCCCTTATACTCACACTCTCCTTATGGATGGCATGCTCTGACTTGGTGCAAAGTCTGTAGGATAGTGGGCCGAACAGAATGTTTTATCTGATTAAGCAGAGTGAGTGAAACAAGGCAAAGCCACCAAGAAAATCTGTCTCTTGGCACCCTTCTGCCCTGAGAAGGAATGAGTGTGTTTGCCTTTTCTGATCTCCTCATAATTAATATCAGGCCTCCTGTCATTGGTGCTGGGGTGGGGGAGAGGGGTATTGCTTTTTTCTGCTTCCTGAGCCACCTCCTGGGAAGTAGTAAAAGATGTTAATGACAAGAGTATGTAGGGCTTGTGAAATAGGTGGAGAGGTAAAACCAGTTGTGAACAACCCCTAAAAAGTAATAAGGTGCTAATTAAATAATAAGAAGTAATATTTTGGAACAGAGCTACAAGAACGTATGTGTCCAAATGAGTACTGTTTCCTTCAAAGTGGTACCTTTGGGAAAATAAATAGTTATTCCAACAGTGCTGCCATTGATCAAACTATTTCAACAACTGGAATATTTTCCTTCAAGCCAGTTCTAGTAACACCAGAAAACAGACTCATTGGAGCATCACATCTCATTTTTCACAATCAAATCCAACTCCATACAGCTTGAGTATCTATCAGAAGCTTCCAGAGCTGCCTTGTGTGCCTGCAGTTGGGCTCATATGGTGGGCAGCCACAGAGGAGCCATCTCTCACAGTGTCCTCTGTCTTAATCACCCAGTGTCGATGCTACCCCCACACCCGAGATCTCCCATTCCCACTCCATCAGTGAGCCAGTGACCATTTTGGCTTCCTAAACTAGTCCTGAGTCAGTAGGCCTTTTAGATATCAACATTTTTGGCTAAAGTCTTTCCTTCTCAGGGTTCATCTTGGTTATTTTGGCATTGATGGAAATGCACTTTGCAGACTTCCAATAAGGGTAATTAACCAGGAATGTCATGGACCAAGAGCCCCAACTGCTGTGTTCTACGTGGGGGTCAGCTTCAGCCACAGTCTTCTCCAAGCTAACCATGGAACAAGGCAGGGATACCATTTCTGAGAGCTATGGGATTTCTCTGATGACCAAATTTGGTTGAAGAATGCCCAGGGACTGCATCAAACCTCCCTTAGACCGCATGACCATCCAAAAGTTTCCATCCAGCCTCCTCCCCTCTCTCCCTTACTTAGGATCAGATTTGCATTGAGGACTGAAGACCCTCCAGCACTCTCTCTATTTTTTCTCAGGTGGGCATATCTCTTCATAAGAAGCCTTGTACATTTCATCTCATCTTGGCATCTGCTTCTCAGAGGACTCAGACTAGCAGAGTCCTTCTATTTGTTTCCCCAGTTTAAGCTTCTTCTGATTTCCAGTTCTCACACATCTGTAGCCCTCCTTCCTTAACCAGGACACTCAGTGTCCAGGGACTCTAAAATAAATCCAGAAGCATCCATTCTGGCCACCCCCTGACCTGAACCTCAGAGGGCGTTTAACTTCATCCTTTTAGAATAAGAGTTTATTTAACTTTAGGCTATTTGCTGTATGAATCCTTCGCAGCTGACAATTTGCAGTATTGAGAATATCTCAAAACGGCACATGAACTCTAGAGGTTCTTCCCAAGAGGAGATCCACATCCTCACTACCACCCTGAGCCCTGGAAACATCACTGGAACAAATAGCTAGTATCTGATAAGAACTACTTCAAAGACACCACCATCCATTTGACTGTTCTAATGTATTTGTTTAAAAAAATGGTGGGATTTTATAGCCTCATCTAATGTACTAGAAATACATAAACAAGCAGAGAAGAAGAAAAGGCTGTCCTGAGCCAAATATAGCCCATTTACTTGAGTTGGGAAAGAGGGAATTATTGTTAACATGAATTGACTGATCTGAGTTAGAGGGAAGCACCCCAAACTTCCTGCCCAAGAAAACTGCTCTGGTTTTCAAAATCCAGTTCCCACACCTTTCTAGAACTTTATAGCTCATGGCTCTATTACAGACACTAACCTAGGTACAGGGTTGTTACTGACCACCCCATCAGAAGTATGCAAAACACTCAGCTCTGTTTGCACACCCAGAGATGCCCAATTTATTAAAGATCCAGTCCTTCCTACCCTTTTATGAGCTCATCCCTTACTTTCAGGTACATTTTAGAAGAAAAACTTAGAGCCATTCCCATTCCAAAAAGTTAATAAATTGGTATTCTTTATTCATTATCTGATCGTTGGGATGAAATATCTCAAGGAAAAGCAGGGTAAGTAGTTGCACGGCTCGATCCAGAAAATATGCAAAAGATGTCTGTATTGCTAGGAACCCATTTCAGGATTTAAAAATGCTTACCCAGGGCCAAAGTTTCTGGATGATCCTCCCATTCACCACCTGTGTGCAGAGACTATGAAAATAGAAGGGAGAGGAACTAAACGCTGCCTCTCCAAGTTTCACATAAGAAAATAGAGGGAAAACGTAAGTGTGCAATCCAGGGCAAACAGCATCAAATAGAACCACAAGAGATAAGAACATTTCAGTGTCTGAGAGTCATCATCTATGAGACTTCCTTAGACTCTACTGAATCGCTGCATCATAACCACAGGAGATAAGAACATTTCAGTGTCTGAGAGTCATCATCTATGAGACTTCCTTAGACTCTACTGAATCGCTGCATCATTTTAGTGTTCCATTGCCCAAAAGCTTCCCCACTGAGCTAGGGTGAAAGTGGGTAAAATTCAGTCCTGCTTGGATTATCAAATTATATTCAACAGTTTAAAATAAAATGTCCTGGACTTCCTACTAGGGAGCAAACTTTTCAGTGATGGATTTGAGAAGTGTGTATTATCAAATGGCTATGGCGAACAAAAAAACAAAATGAAACAAAACAACAAAAACAAAAAACAAAAAACAACAAAGGAAGATAGCATCTTTCTTTCCTGTAGAGTTCTAACAATTTGAAAGGGTACCCTAAGATACTTGAGAGCCCCTTCTTTCCTTCTGGTGTTAATAAAAAATGTCATTGGGTACATAAACCATCTTGATGTGTTGGTATCTTATATCTATATTTCATTATCTTACATCTGGATGATACAATTGTCTTTGAAAGGGTATTGGAACTACCCTTCTATTGAACTACCTGGGAGAAAGCACTCTGAAATATCCCCCTTGCCATAACCATTCCTGCTGGCCTTAGTTAAATAGGTAAGGCATAAGGTATCTTAACAAAATCGATTACAGGGCCCCAAAGAAATGGATGAGCAATGGCTTTCAAGACCATCACTATTACCAATTGATCCTATTAAAGTGGATGTTTACATCTTATAGGATTCAGTAAGTATTTCAGAAATTTTGTAGAAAAGTATTCCATTGCTCCAAAACCCTTTAAATCGTCATGGCCTTAAACCCTCAATTTGCACTGGGAACACTGAGAAGAAAGGGAGAGCTTGCGGACCAGAGGAAAGCCAAGTGTTGTCACAACCCCTGAACCCTTTGGTGGTCTTCAGGCATCATGTGTAGGCAGGTACTCAGATTTTCAGGAGCTGTTTAGTAGGGCTTCTGATGCAGCATTTGCTGACCCCATCAGCTCTTTGTCTGCATTAAAACTATAGGTCTTGGGGCCTACAGGTTGAACTATAGCAAGTTCAGGAAGCCCCTCATTTTCACTAGCAGAAGTCTGCCTGATAGTGAGGCTTGATATCCCATCCACAAACTACATTGCTTTGCTGTAGCATGAGGAGCCAGTAGCACAGCCTGTATTTTGCTTCAACATGGGAAGAGTTTGGTATTTCATTGGTAAAACTCCAGACGATGTAATTGGTTTGTGTTTGGGTTATCTTGTATAAAATAAAATAAAAATTAGTTTTAAAGGTTAGAGTCCCTCAGTGTGCAATATTCTTACACTGTGTGCAGCCTGAGAGACCTGGGTCCCATGGAAGGAGCAGCCAGCTTACATCACAGTGTGAGACACGTGTTCATTGACAGATAATGGGACTCATCAGCCACACTTTTAAAAATTGGTATTTTTCCTGCTGAGCAGCTACTGTTGAATTCATATATGTTAAATGGTTGTGTAGCAGGTTTGAAATTTACAAACATAAAATTAGATGTGCAAGAAT